TGTGTGTGTGTGTGTGTGTCAGTGAAGGCGTGACTCATTCAGCTTTGAAGTTTGCTGTGTGCTCGCAGTTGAAGGAGGCAGACACGGAGAGTTTGAGCGAGACTTTATGATGAATATGGAAGCATTGTTGGGGCCGTGCTTACCTCCGCAGGGAACCATCTGCTCCCTGTCAATGCATCACCTGCTCGTCTGAGCCGTCTCCTGGGCAACGAGGGGTGGGGGGGGATTAGGAGAGGTTATGGCTTTGATGGGAGGGGCCGTCGCAGGGGACAGAGCGGTGGACCAGAGGAGGAGGAGGAGGGGGCTGGTGGGAGGGAGGCGAATGCCGTCCTCTGCTGGTAGAGAGAGATACAACAGGGGTTTCCATATTACTATACATGTAAAGTAAAATGTATATATATATATGTGCACTGTAGATGATCATAAAAACATCTTTCTGCACCGTTTTCTATCTTTTGAGTATAATATATTATTTTGAAATGCTTTAGAAGCAGAATTAAACAAGCTGTAAGTCTCAAGAACTCATTTAAAGGGCTAATTCACCCAAATATGACACATTATTTCACCTACTTTAACTCTAATTTAGCCAATATTTATTATTATTTTTGCTATATTTTTATATAAAAAAATATAGTAAGATTTATATATAAGTATTTTAATTGTTTAAATGCCACTAGGGGTCTCTCAATCTATTTTTTTTTAGCATGAAGCAGCGTGGGATCATGGGAGTTGATCTCTGTACTACTTGTTGGGAGTTGAACCCAGACAAGATATTAAGATTTTTTATGTAAATCTCTATTTTGTCCTCTGCAGCTTTATGGAAGTATGCCACTAAATTGCTGGAGTCCACTTTATGAACAAGGTGCTTTAATTTGTATTTCATAAATTCATCAATCATGAATTATTTCACTCTCAATAGCAAATGTCTGTTTTCTTTCTGACGCTAGAATTAATACTCAATATAGAGTTGGTGGTTCTGGATCAGTGTGTCTCCTCAGAATTTGTATAATGCAAATATGAATGTGTTACATCTCTGTGAACTTCATATTATCCATCATAGACAATATTTAACCACAGAGAGGAAATGACTCAGGCACGATTAGCAGCTGCAGACAGACAGGCCCTTTGCGTGTGTGTGTGTGTGTGCGCGTGGGTGTGTGTGTGTGCGTTGGCAGTCATGCAACACGGATGTCAATCAAGCAGCGAGTTCTCATTAAGTCTCTGTGTTCCTCCACCCACAGCGACCACTTTTGGATGTGCTAGTGACGGCTGTGTAAACACGCCTTCAAACGCAAACACACAGGAGCTGAAACACACCTGATGACTGCGTCAGAGAAGTGTCGCTCTGAAACATCACGGCAACAACTTTCAGTTTAGTGACATGGATGAGTTAACACGTTCTATTACATACAATATATGAGGTGACAAACGTTTAGTTTGAAGTGAACCATAGTGATATCTTAATATCTTGGAGGCCTGCAGGGGAAAAGTGAATTTAAATTAAATGTTGAGAGAGATTTTTCCTTCTGAAGGTTTGGTTTCAGATTTGAAACACAGCCCTCAACAGAGTCTGCAGATGTTGCTCCCAGGTTGCATAACGCCTCAACAACCCTCCACCCAGCTGATGGTTACCTGTACAGGATACACACAGAGAGAGAGAGAGAGTCTGAGTGACAGGTGAAAGTGACCACGGCCGCGGGGCGGAAACCAGCTTTGTGTTCGGTCAGGGTGTCGAGGGAGGGCGGTGACCCCGGTCCCCCTGCCGACGAGATCATCAGCCCGAGGGTAGGAAGCTATCGGCAGGGAGATCATCAGTACTCCCCCCTCCTCCTCCTCCTCCCCACCAACACCACAACATTAACATGCCCCCCCCCCCCCACCCTCAGTTAGGGAGCTCAGTTCTCTCCTCTTGAAAAGAAAACACCAATCTAATCTTCATCTCTACTTCACGTTGTGCAGGAAACCAATAAGCCGACAACAAACACCGACGACAGAGCCTCCACCTGCAGGTAACACAACACTGCCTTGTTATCTGTTGCATATTCTTTCATAAAGATTTAAAACAGCTGTCGAGTCCTACAGGAGCATTTAGAGCATAAAATCCGAGGCATAATAATCAGGAGGCACGTGAATGTTTGCACAAAGCTCCACAGCCACTCATCCCAACGGTTGATGACGTATTTTACTGCAAATGTCAAACTCCTGTTGGCAAGAGAGGAGACGTCATGTGATCACCAAAGTCATTTGGGAACCGTGGGTGTTTTTAACAACTGACTGTCCGTTGATATTGACTGAGCACGTTGATCCAACACCACGTGACTCTCTAAACTTAATAGTTGCCTGTCTCACGCCGACTCTGGGCTCGATTTGGACGAGATGTTGATCCTGGGAGAGTTCCTGTCAGGGCCACGTGTCGCAGGCGACCCAGCCAGGGGTAAGGAGGTGACTTTCCTGGGTGTAAAATTCAATTATCCAGCGGATGAGCGTGTCTGAGCGTGTCTGTTGTCAGCAACGGGCGCCCGGTTGCCCGTTCCCAGCGTGCGACAAGGGGGTTAAGAACCACAGAAAGGCCTCCATTATCCTGAGTGAGAACGGCCCATGTGGCTGGCTGCACGGCCCCCGCACTCATTCACTCCCCTTTACAACAGCACGGCTGAAAGCCTCCAACTTTCATTTTCTTTTCTCTGCTCCCACTCCTGCATCTCCCCCCCTCCCCAGCTCTCTCTCTCTCTCTTCCTCCTCTCTCAGAAAAGAGGCACCACAATGCCGCTGGAAGGCTGGAGTGGATTCTTCAGCACCCCTGTGGACAGTGCACATGTGGACAACATTCACAGGATGTCCGTCAACTAGTCCATTAATCAACAATGTCTCATGAAAGCACAATTAGGAACCTCACAACTCTACAAGCGATTATCATCTCTAAGCACCCCCTGCCACTCCCCCTGCACAGCGCCGCTCTGTGCTGAAGCCTGGTTTCCTCGTCCAACTGCACTTTTTCACAACAATTATGGAAAAGTTGCATAATCATGACAAAAGCAGAAAAAGATGTCTTTTAAGCGGGGCAGCTGCAGCGTGTAAAAGAGCTCATTTCTTGCCATCTGAGTCCATCAGACAGTAAAAGTGATTCGCATCTGGGCTGATCATTAGTGTGAGAATGGAGCCTTAGTGTGTGAATGAGGCCGAGGCCCTGTGGAGAAAACCATTGTGGACGCACACTGCAGCACTTCTGGTGATAAATGAGCGATTGTCTCCATCACTGTTAATGACAGTGCATGACGCAGTGGGGGGAACTCTCCAACCGCTGCACAATGTGAGGAGGACACTGAGGAGTTTTATGTGGCATCACGTCCCAGATGGGTTTATATGAAAAAGACAGACCACAGACAGAGGCCCACTATGAATAAGTCCCTACAGTGTGTTTATGTGCATTTCAATCGGGCTGGCAGAAAATACAAAAACACATGATTCATGTCATAAAGGAGTATTAATTCATATTTTGGTAACTTGTTCCAGAGTTAAGTTGTAAATACAATATCGGCAGCATAAGGAACAGAAGTGCCAGGTTCAGTCATCGGATTTAACTCCACTTAACCACACACACTCATATTCTATTAGTTTGATATAAAAACTGTAAACAGTAAAGGATTCAGTTAACATGAGGATTTACTTTCATTTCATTAATCTGGATTAAAACTTCACCTAATGCCATGAGTTGGAAAACAACTGGATCTCTCCGGACATTATCGAACCCACACTGCCCTCATGTGGCACCTGTGGATCCCCTCACCTCTGCACCTTCTATCTTTGTGCACAGAATACAAACTGTTGGTCGGATGTAGGTGATGTTGCAGCTGCTGCTTGATCCCGTGAGAGTAAGGATAAGTGACAGCCTTTTCTCATCATTAGCACTCATGATGAGGCCATGTAATCCATTTACTTAATTTTCTGCTTCTCTGAAAATGCTCATCAGCGTAATAAATACCAAACTCACAGTACAATTTGTGTGAAAATGATTAAAAACTCCCCCTCAGTTCACGCTGCATTCTGCTGACTCATGATTTCACTATCTTTGTCATCGTGACACACACACAAATGCATGACAATGGCGTAAAAAAGGCGGTTATCAGAGGACACTCAGGCTCAAAACTTGGTGTAAATGAGGCTGTTTCGAGTCAAATTTAAATGTCGGGGCTTGCGGACACTTGGATGACACGGAACTGTATGGACGCATGTTTGTTTCTGGTGTTTTTTTACATTTGAAGAATCGGTCACCATTCACTTCAGTTGTTTTGGATTTGGCTGCAACTCTGTTTACACCCGAAACTCACTCAAACACAAATGAATTTGAAACTTTGGGTGAACTATCCCTTTGAGCTTCCTGTCTGTGGACTGTGGGAGGAGGCCAGTGTAACAGGACAACATGTACACTCCAAAGACCTGCTGGCCCGCAGGTTCGAACCCAGAACCCTTTTGCTTGGAGGAAACCCCACTGCACCACCATGCTACCCCCACACAGACCTGATTGTTCGGACATAGTTTCAAAGCAGTATTTTAACTTGTAATTGAGAAGAAAAGTACTTCACAAATGTGGCCGATTAGCAGTTTTACTGCAGTAGTTTCTAAAACATATGAGGGATACAAACCTATTCTCTTAATTGAGGATTATGGCGTCACTCAAAAGTTGGTTGACTTGAGTTTGTATTTTCTACTGAAGAACTGTGATGTCACAAAAAGGGGGCGTGAAGTGCGGCCCTCATAGAATGACATTTAACCTAATGAATAATCAGTTGTTGTTATTGCTGCTGATTGAATTTTAATTGATTTTAAAAAATGTGTGTAATCACTTTAATAGAATGTTCTAAATGCTTTTTTAACTTTTAATATCGGGTTCTCTATGAACAAATAGGACTTTAATATGTCAATATGAATGAATGACATTCCTATCACTAATAAACGCTTTCATGATATGTTGATCTAATGTGTAAAATAGAAGATAAAATTGTACTTTTTCACCCTATAGGTACAACTGCTTGTTTTTTTATATTTTCCTATGACAATCTGATTTGAGGAAGATCATTTTCATAAAGTCTTTGGAAGATTCGAGAACTTTATTTCAAGTTAATGTGCATTAATTGGTCTTCATTTTTGAAATGTGTGTTGAAATGTGCGCATCATAATTACCTGCGTTTTCTTCCGCCACTGAGAGTTCTGACGTGTTTGAGACTCATGAAAATACCTTCACGGTTTTTTAAACTCATGCAAACTAATGATTCACGGAGGAAAAGTGCATCTCTCGGTGTTAATCATACCTGAGGTCTGATTCTGATCTGTCAGGCTGCACAAACACCGACAGGCATCTCAGCAGCAGGAGCAGCAGCAGGAGCAGGAGCAGGAGCAGCAGCAGGAGCAGGGTGACGGTGGTGAAAGTGACGATGACTGAAACAAAACAAAAGTTATAAAACAGTTAAAAAAGTGCGCACATCACACCCGAGGCATCGATCCAGCGGTGCACAATCAAACCCAGATGTGCCACATTGTGATCCAGTTGGAAAACATCCCGTGACAGCGCCACGCGGAGGGGGTGTGGTGTCACATGGCTGCACACTAAAGCGGAGAGCTTTTATAGACAGCTGCTGTAGCAGAGAAACTTCTGCAGCCTCACACACTCTCTGAGCATCAACACACACACACAGGTCCAATCACCTGAGGAGAGAAGATGGACGCTGCTTACAAGAGAGTCAACGGAAACTATGGTCCCGAGGGAGAGGCTGACAACCAAGGCACAGGGGTAAATCTGATTCCTCACACTGGACATGCTCTCATATCTCATCAATCTTTATGCAATTCATAGTTTGATTTAATCCGGCTGCAGGTGACATTTGCTTTTCATTGACAAATCCTTCAACTTCTGGTCTGCTGTGGTCAAAATGTGTCCATTGTGAGCAGGACAAAGTTATTTATAAGGCTGAGAAGTAAATGTATGTACAAGTGCTTGAATAGAACCGGTGTGTTTTGGATGCAGCTACAGTAACAGAGCAGGTTATAGCTGGAATATTCTGGGTACAGCAGCAGACAAAGCAGGGGAATGTAAAAGTGCCTCAGTGAAAACAAAAGCAAACAAAAAACTGTTTCCAATGACAAAATGTGCAGTCGTAACACACCTGGCTCTACAGACTCAATGTTTGCAGGTATTTGAACAGGCTGTGAATAGATAACACCATTTTGCCAATGTTTATAAAAGTTAGAGATGAAATATGTTGTTGATTAATCGAAAATCTGCTTCTAGAAATCATGACCTCTTGCCTTTTTGTTTGATGTGGTCATAAATCAAACCATTAATCTGGAACAGGCATCCAATGTGAAGACACCACGTTTGCTTTGGGAACTTTTCTTTTTAACGAAGTGTAACTAAATATAAAGCATTAGAGAAATTGATCAGTAGTTTATAGCCCTCTAAATTTAAAGATTCCTCAGCTGCCCTCTGAGCTTTGAAGTCAACCAAAGCATTTAATGTTTCAGTAAACGGATTTGTTCGACGAAACAATCAGACCACCGCATGTTAAACATAATGAATCGCTGCTTAGACCGTGCAGGAATGCGGCCATCTGTAAGATGTTCTTCTCCTCCGTGACCGTACCTGCAGAGAGAATTTGTGTGACTTTGAACCGTCTGTGTGTGGAGCATGTGGTCCTGCTGCCTCCTCTGCTTCAGGGGTCTGCGCTTAAAGGTGGAAGGTGTAAAGGGTTCAAGCTTTTTACGATGAGACGGCTAAACTGCAGAATGTCACGGCTCTCAGCTTGATTTCATGCACTTCCTCTCACAGCTGTCCTTCAACACATGGGTTCCAAAACCAACTCAAACGGCAGAGAAGTGATTAGAAAATGTGGGATTTACAAAGTGCAGACGAAAAATTGCCATGGGCTTGTTAGAATCAGGTAGACGATGAAAGCCATTTAACTTGATTCCATTTTTCTCAGGAGAAAGCACCGAGAGATATCAATTCGCTACTGAGAATCGCTTACTCGCCCATGACCAACTCTGCATCCCTCCCTCTGTCTTGCTGACCTTTATAATAACAGTAGTATCAGCTGCTTCCTGTGATGCTGTAACTTCTGCCCCGTTCCATGTCTTAACCGCGTGTTTTTATCTGGTCTTTCTGGACAGAGGAGACGCGGCTCCATGTACCTGGAGGAGGAGACCAACAAGAAGTCGGAGGTCATCTCCTGCATCTTCTCCCTGAAAGAGGAGGTGGGAGCTCTGGCCAGGGCTCTGCGGCTCTTTGAGGTAAACTCGAGTCTCGCCAACCTGAAGTCACCCCTCCATGCTTCATCAATGCTTTCCCCTCATAATCTCCATGCTTGGCACACATGACTATCCCGAGCAGTGACACGGCCCTTTCTTCCTCATAAGGGCCCAGAGGATACACACAGTAAAACCCTGATTGTCAGTTGATAAAATACTTGACAGCTTTACATAACAAGGGAACTTGGTCAGAGGTGATTTCACACAAACTGTCGAAAACAAAAATTACAAACTCTGACCCTCACGGTTAACAAGCAAACTGAGAATGCAGGAATGTTAATATAGAGCTGGGGGCGGTTTAATCCACATGGGGTTAAAATTAACACCGCTGCACTGTGGTAAAAAAATAAATGACATACCCCAAGCTCAATGCGCAACCTCAAAAAGTCTGACAAGATGATTATGAAATTAATTTGAGTTAATCGAACCGACAAAAGAACCATTTTTAAGAATGAAAGAGCGTAAAAAGGAACTAATGTAATGAATAATCCGAGCACTTGTTCGCCTCCTTGAAGAGAGTTAGGCAACGAGATATCAGTCTCACGACTGTCCTTAAACCAGAGGCCACAGCAGCTGCTTATCATCACTGTGGGTTTATTTATTTTAATGTTAGTTTTAAGACCGTGAAGAAGCAGAAATGTCACAATGTGCTGCTCTGCACAAAAAACTATTGAAGTGTTAAAGTAATAATAAGTTATATATCAAATTTTATTACATATCAGTATTAAATTATCTTTTCGTAACCACACAAGTGAATCATGTTGCTGATTAACATTAAACTAAACAATCGTTACGACATCCAGCTCAGTGTGTTCGGGCAGAGAAACTAGGTTACGTGTACGATTATCGGCCAGAGTTGTTTTCATGGCATGTTTGACCCTTTAAAGAAAGAAACCAAACAAACGCAGCTTATCTCACGTTTGTGTATTAGCTTTGTGCTCTTTGATCCACTGACTCACCTCCTCCTCCTCCTCCTCCTCCTCTTAATGAAACAGTTACTAGCAGTGAATGAATCAAGTTTGCCGAGGAGGACGGTCACTGAGTAAACAGCTGAAACGATTAGTCAATAAATTGGAGGACAGAAAAATGAACTGGGTATCAATACTTTGTTATTTAAAAAATGAAAATGACAAAACAGTGGTGAACCTTCCAATCACAAAGAGTGAGAAGCCGAAACCAATGTGATTTTCACTTTGCATTTTAAATGTTTTAAATTTCCAGTGGGGGGGTGACCCTGATGACATCATCAGGGTTAAACTTGGGAAATCTGTTGATGCTGTGAATATGAAAAATTAGTGATAATAATCCAATATAATACAAAATTACATTTAACTGAAGGTTGGCACTTCTGTTTTATTTGTGAAAGCTGATTTTTTTTGGATCCAGGACCTGAGCTCGGGGTCTGAGCTCAAGTAAACACAAGAAGGTCAGTGTATCAATGTGTGCCTTGTTTTTTTTAATTCTCTTTCATCGATCCAAACGGCCTGCGTACGTGACTACGTGAGCGTATAAACGTTCGTTTGATCCTCGACATCGATGACCTATAGAGATTTGTGTTTGCTCTTCTTGCCGGGATATTAAAAACAAAGTGTTTATTTCTACCAAACATATATTGAAGGAGAAAAGTCCAAAACCATGTAAAACATTGTGAATTATCAAATGTTTCTGGTTAGTGGAGCAGTGGAGAAATTCCTTTCCTCAGGTCTATGAGTTTGTGGGGGTGGAGATGTGGGCAGGCAGAGCGTGATCAATAAAAAGAATGTGCCAAACGCTGCTCTCCAAACGCAATTGTAAACATCAGGATCTTTTTGAACCTATGAGCTCCCGCTTCTCCAATCCTCCCCCTGCTCCACCCCCTGCTCTCCTCACAATTCCAGATATTCAGTAAAGTGGATCAGATGACCCCCAAACCATCAGCACGCTGCTCTTGGGGTGACGCAGCAACATGTGCTTACGTTTAGCCGAGCAACTGTGGCTTCTATCGTGTGTTCATGGTCATCTCGGAGAAGTGGTGCGCAAAAAAACCCATCACACTCTTTAGCCTCATGAGAGCAGAGCGCGCATGTGACCGGGGTATCGTGGCTTTCATGTGACGAGTCAGAGCCATGGGCCAACCTTGACCTCGCAGCTCCTGGCAACAGTAGGGTTAATGTCATCAGCACTTCAGTGGAGGGACGGCTCGGAGGGGTACAGAAATCTGACAAACTGACCCTTACATCCCGATGGGTTTAGGATTTAAAGCCTGCTATGTTAAGCTGGACCAGGCCACTAACAGCACACATGGAATATTTCTCCTTGTGCATAGAATCAATGAGCTTATTGCGCTTGAGGACACATTTTAGCTTCAAAGCACCGTTATAACAAATCTTCCTCAGTATGTACAGATTGATGAGTATTCCTCCTTATCTTTTGTACTTCATTCGATTTTCATACCTCGATATTTACTGACAACACCAGGTCAAAATAAGAAATTCATTGCATTGATAACTTGAAAACTTATATCTGCATGGGACAATGTTTTAATCTTGAAAACAACCTAAAATTAAACATATTGACCGTGGAAACTATTTAAATGCTGCAATCCTAGAGCTTTCCACTTCTCTTCATTATTCATTTTTGAAGAGTATCTTCAACATATTGAGACGCAGCCCCTTTATGCACCATCTGCATCTATTTTACCAGCTTTACCATATGTACATGTGTTATCACTTGTCCATTTTTTATATATATAGATAGATATCTTTGTTTTACAATGACACTAAATGCGTTATATTCTGTTCTATCTTAATTCTCTTAAAGTTTAAATCTTCGAATGATTCTTGCTCGTCTAATTAGTTGTATCTCGACTACATTTGATCCGTATGCAGAATATATTCAGTGTAGACCATAAACTGGTTTATTGTATCGTAATGTCGAGTTTATAGACAATAACTAAAAGAGTTAAACCGATAATACAAGTTTTCAATAAGAAAACCTGTTTTTGTGAAATCAGCTGATAATATTGCATCACACAAAAATCGAGTCAGCTTTTCTTTCAAAATGCTAACCTGCAGTCTGACTCTGTCTTTGGTCAGGATCAGTTGTAAAGGTGCAACATGACATGCACCCTCAGAAAAAAAGGCTGTTTTATGTTGAATGGGATCCAGATGGGGGAGATCGGGGGTTGGTTGGCGCTGTCGCTCACGCCCTCCTCTCCACTGAGCCTATGGTAGACGGAGAACAACTGACTCCCTCTTCCTCCCCAAACACCACATAAACAAAAACACATTTTTATGCTGATTACCTCGTAAAAAAATCACACGAGAAAGGGCCTCTTTGCACTTTTTGACATAAAAACAAATAATTTCCCAAAAAGTGTGGAAACTTCTCAATGGTTCTGTGTCCGTGCTGCAGAGTGAGGTGATTTATTTCACTATTCTGCACTTAACCACTACAATATGTCCCACGTGCCTTTACTGTGTAAGTCCTGTGTGTCTGGCTCAGTGTCAGTTTGCAGAGGTCAAGGCAGCTCTGAGTCAAGGTCGGAGCAGACTCCAACGTGTCTGATAGATAATAACCCATCTGTTCAGCAACCTCACAGCACTCACTAGTGGTGAAACAAGGGTAGTGCCGCAGCCTGCTGGAGTAGATGTTTGAATTTTTACTGTTTGTCCAAAATAAAAACAACCTCAATTCTCACCGGTCTCCCCCGTTCCCTCTGTTCCTGCAGGAGAAGGGCATCAACCTGACGCACATCGAGTCGCGTCCGTCAGGGCTGGACAAAGACCAGTACGAGTTCTTCATCAGCGTGGACTCCAGCTGCTCCCAGGCCCTGGATGAGGTCATCGACGGCCTGCGCACACAGATCAGCGGCCACGTGCACGAGCTGTCACGCAACAAACAAAAGGACACAGGTTAGACGAGAGTGTGTGATTGCAGGGAGAGGATGCACGCTGGACAAGACGAGCGTGAACCCATTATGAAAACAGTGTTTAAAAGCCCCTAGCATGGCAGGGACTCTCATCATGTGACATAATATTCACGCTGATCAGTAGGTGGCGTATGACCCTGACTCAATATTGACATATGGAGCTGTTCAGGTCTCGACTCTGATCACTGGTTTAAATTTGTGTGCCGATTGGACAATGCATAGAGAGCTGGAGCAGGAAACAGAAGCTAACACCAAGTGTTTCAGACAGAGGTTGAAAAGAGGAGCTGCAGCGATGGATGGTCTGAGGACACTGATGTGTTTTCTCAACATCAGAGCACGTCAACCTTATTAGTTATAACACTAATCAACATTATCAAGCAGAATACGTCTCCTCCAAGATATTTCACTCTGGGTGGTGATTTACGAATTCTCGGCCAGACGCAGTAATGAACTTCCAGTGTCGCCGATGAGACCGATGCCCCGTCGGCCACATCTAGACCTTTATATTAGTCGTTTCCAGAATGACATTAGTTTAGCCACTGAGCAGCAACAGGCCCGGCATAAACAGAGGAGCTCTGTGTCTCAACCCCAGAATAACATGGGGAAGGAGAACATGCCAAGGTCACGGCTAGCGGAGACAGACAGGGCCACCATGATGCTCTTTTGACACCACACAGACACCGAGGGCTACTGGTCAGGGTCAAGTGAACGACAGGATATTTATGGGCAGATTCGGAGACAGCCTGTTTATGGAGGAGCCTGGCAAGGGCCCATTGTGTTCCTGGGGCCTCGGGGTAGACCACACTGCGTAAATGTAGATTAATGTTTGGGCCCCAGTGTTTTTTTTGAGGGTCATAAATCCATATCAACGAGCAGATGCCCCCTCGTGTCGTCTTCTGTTGAGTGTCAAAATGCCATCGCACTGAAAAATAAAAACCCTGCAGGGAAAACACTTTCTACGGCATCAATCAGTTTGTGCTGGACTTTATGCAATTAAGTACAGAATATTCAAGACATTCATAATTGTTTTCAGTTTATCAGTGAATTAACTGATTAAATGTTTCTATTTGTATTTATTATGTTTTTCCTGCCATGTCAAATTTCAACAAATGAAGCGTAAACTCTTAAACTGGCTGTGAAATAAAATAACAAAAGCATAAAATGCAATAGTTCTCCGACATTAAGGTTTTCCAGGATTTCTAACATTTCTTTCCTCTGGGCAGCGAGTGTGGAATGAATGCTTGATTGATCTGACCTGAGTCACTACATGTTGAATATAAACACTAATTATAGATGTTCTAATAACCGTTATTATCCCGCAGTGCCATGGTTCCCTAATGACATCCAGGACTTGGACCGTTTTGCCAACCAGATTCTCAGTTACGGCTCGGAGCTGGAAGCTGATCACCCGGTGAGGACTGACTCATCTGTCCATGTGCCACATCCTGCCCCTGCATGTGTGTGTGTGTGTGTGTGTGTGTGTGTGTGTGTGTGTGTGTGTGTGTGTGTGTGTGTGTGTGTGTGTGTGTGTGTGTGTGTGTGTGNGTGTGTGTGTGTGTGTGTGTGTGTGTGTGTGTGTGTGTGTGTGTGTGTGTGTGTGTGTGTGTGTGTGTGTGTGTGTGTGTGTGTGTGTGTGGGTCCACTCACGCCCACCCCTCTAATGAAAGACGAGGCTCTGGAGATGACAGGCCCCACTCTGCTGTCCATTCTAATGGAAACTATATCCATGTACAAATTGATGTCATTGCTTAAATTGAGCCCCTATAATTATAGATAATTGCTCCCTTTCGCCACCGTCATTAAAGTGAAATGTATTCATCATAAGCTGAACAACACTCTACAAAGGCCTCATTTGAATATGTATGTTCCTGCTTTTATCAGAGACGGAGTGCACGATGCCGTCAACGGCCTCAGGGTTCAGGCTGAGCAGAGGATTTCCACTCTTTGATTTATCTGAGAGTGGGCAGCGTGCGTTCATGAGATCTAACATGGTTGTTCTTTGTGTGTGTGTGTGTGTGTGTTTGTGTGTTCAGGGCTTCACAGACCCAGTGTACAGATCCCGCAGGAAGGAGTTTGCCGACATTGCCTACAATTACAGACAGTAACTACTCTTAATTTAAATCTTTACACTACATCTCGAACACTTTTGCATTTGTTTTCCAAATATTGAAAAAGGTGTTGGAGGGTTTTTTTTTAAATATTTCAGTTCTGGCTAATTTCCTTTGATTCTTCACCTGGAAAACAAACACATGTGGATAAATTAGAATTAAAAACAGATATATTCTGTAAAATATTAAACATATTTACATGCTTGTAATATGCATATTTCAACATCTTTTAAATGAACATGAAGGTTTAGCATTTTTGTAAATTGGGGGCCACTGTCCTTTTTATCTCCACTAGGGGTCACTAAGTTCAGAAATCTGTAAATCCTGTATAAAATGTGTAAAATGTACAATATCAATACGTTTTTGGCAAACACTGTGTTGCTTTAATACTTCTACCAATACTGTCCTGTGCAGTGATATGCATATCCTTTCTGGATTGCATAGTCTAATAATATATAATGTTTATTTGAGAGGGATATAAGTATAAAACACAGATAATAGTCGTACAGCCTATGTTAGCTACAGACGTGAAACCATCGTGATACAAACGACGATACAATAACCTCACGTCTTTGTCCCAGTGGCCAAATCATCCCCAGAGTGGAGTACACAGAGGAGGAGAGGGCCACATGGGGGACGGTGTTCAAGGAGCTGAAGACTCTGTACCCGACTCACGCCTGCCGCGAGCACAACCGGGTCTTCCCCCTGCTGGAGAAATACTGCGGCTACACCCAAGACAATATCCCGCAGCTGGAGGACGTCTCCCGCTTCCTGCAGTGTAAGCTCACAAATGAAATGTTTGTGTGAGTTATATCACTTACGTCAGTTCTGGGGTTTTTATTTTGTTGATTGGTTTTGGTATGTAAATGGTAGAATCAGGTTTTCTTTTAATGTCTGATAGAGTAGAAAGGTATAGAATTATTATATCTGACAGTTATTAATGTCAGAGTTTGAACCTGTCTGTGTGAACCTACTCATACGCCGCACTTCCACCCTCCCTCCGTTATTCACATTCACCCTCTCCTCTCTTTCATCCACGTGCTGCCGCTCTCCTGCAGCGTGCACGGGTTTCCGGCTTCGCCCGGTGGCCGGCCTCCTCTCGTCCCGGGACTTCCTGGCTGGACTGGCCTTCCGCGTCTTCCATTCCACACAGTACATCCGTCACAGCTCCAAGCCCACGTACACACCTGAGCCGTGAGTGTCGAGGGTCTCAGCTCCACCTCTGACAGAAGAGAGAGAACAAACAGTGTAAACTTGAATAAAATCAGAGAGTAAATTTTGTTTCTGATGCAGGGATATCTGCCATGAGCTCCTGGGACACGTCCCTCTGTTCGCTGACCCGGGTTTCGCTCAGTTCTCACAGGTAATGAAGAATCCAATCAGAGCACATTTAATTAAATACTTCAACACCTCCTTCAGGGATTAATAGTGTTTCCTTATCCTGAACATGTAACATGTGTCGTTCTGTAAAGGCTGTTTTCAGTGTTGTGATTTTTTTTTTTTGCTTTGATTCTGTTGTGTGTAGGAAATTGGACTCGCCTCCCTCGGTGCCCCTGACGAGTACATTGAGAAACTTGCTACTGTGAGTACAAATAATATTTGATTCAGATTGAAGTAATCTAAGAAGACTCATTTCAAAATAAATGTGTGTTTCTATCAAATTTCATCAATTAAACAAGAAAAGCTTTCATCAGGTCAAGAACCCAGAGAAATAAATGACATAAGGCTAGATAGTAGATTTGTGTTTCTTATTTAAGTGAACTGACCCTTTAATTCTCCTCACAGATCTCTGAGGAGTTCATCGACTTTGTTATCGTGACTTCTTGCCCAGGTTTTTGTGTGAATCCTAATTTCTCGATGTGCGTATCCTCAGGTGTACTGGTTCACCGTCGAGTTCGGCCTCTGTAAGCAGGGATCGGAGATTAAAGCTTTCGGAGCTGGATTGCTTTCATCGTTCGGCGAGCTGCAGGTAAGAGGAATAACCCCCCCCCCCCGATGAGTTGTTATCACATACTCACCTTCTTGCACAACCTCGGTGGTACAGGAAGTGGGTTAGTGGTCCACTCATACTTAGGATTTTATGTGTCACTGGGGGAATCGGACCACCGGCCCAGCGAGGGGTGCAGGTAAAGTGGTTCACTAGGTAACTGGAGACAGAGGGAGGATAAACATCTCGCTATAAAGGTCACAAGTTACATGAGCCGCTGTCTGCAGAGGATGTGCACTCTGCCGAGTCACAGCCACAGAAACGCAGAGCCCTGAATCATGCCGCACTTCCTGTGCACGGACGTGGACACGCTCTCGTTGATAGAGAGAGAAAACAGCATGAAACATTTTCTTTTATTCACTGTTTCTCTTGCAGTACTGCCTGACAGACAAACCCGCACTGCAGCCCTTTGACCCGGAAAAGACCAGCATCCAGAAATACCCCATCACAGAGTACCAGCCTGTCTACTTTGTCGCTGAGAGCTTCGAGGATGCCAAAGAGAAAGTCAGGTAAGATTTGTTTTTACTCAGTGAACATGCACCTTAACTTTAGCTTTTCATTTTATAACCTTTATTTCTTTGTGGCCACAGAATATTTGCCAGCACCATCCCCAGGCCTTTCACAGTGCGATACAACCCCTACACCCAGAGCATTGAAGTTCTCGATAACACCAAGCAGCTCATGAACCTGGCTGACAGCATCGGCAGTATGTATCACACTTGAATCACGTTTGTGAACAGAGTGGACGATTCCCTATTCACAAATCACAATAAGCAATTAACCCTCGACTACAGTGAGAAAAATCTACTAAAAAATAGGCTATGTCAAATTATTCCAATGAACTTCTATCTGGTCAGAGGAGAAACAATTGAGAACTTCTGCTGTAGAAACTTTTTTTTTTTTTTTTTAGTGCTGCAATGAGGCAACTTCACAACAAAAAAAAATCTCTCAATTCTTGAAAATATAAATCAAATTTTGTGTAGCGTGTTTGTCCTTTTTATATCTTGCCACCTCTCAGATTAACGATCTGACGCCCGAGCTGTTGGGAACCTCCGATTTAAAGTTTAATATTCACGTTACACAATCATCGTCGTCATTTTGAATAAAAACGGAGCGGAGAATCGTAGCTAAGAGAAATTTCTGGAACCACTCACTCATAAAAACTCGAAATTACAGTTGATTTAATTTTGTTTTTGCTTTTTCTCTTAGGTGAAATGGGGAAACTGTGTGAAGCCCTGAGGAAACTGGCATAACTGAAATCTGAGCTCAAGCTACCTGAAGATCACTTTTTCTTTATTTTCCTTCTTCATTGAAATAGTCCTTTATTAGACTGCGGACCTAAACGGTTACGCAGATTAGTTTTTCTTCATATGTTAACAAATATGCAATCAAATAATAAGAATGATATATAAATAAATAAATATATATATATATACATATATATATATACATATATAATCCAATTAGTAGCAAATATTCTATGTGTATTTCAGTTAAGTGAATAAAGTGTAACATACGGACAATAAGGAAGATAACAGCTGAAATGTATTACAGTATGAACGTATACATGTTTCGTAGATCAATCTAAATCTAAAGCCATGTAAACAAATAACTTTAGTTTAATGCAAAACGACAACTGCAATGATCTTATTTTTCCTAAGCATTTTAAAGCTAAAACTTATCGAGAGATCATTTTTGTCGCTAAAGCTTTAATTTCACTTTGCTGTATTAAATGTGTTGTGTCTGCATGAAATGTTTTATTGGAAAAAAATAAAATCCTCTTGGACTTCAGCGGTCGTGTCATTTATACTTCTGTTAATAATCGTGTACAGAATTACAGTGGTGGAGGCCTTTTTGCTTTATTTGGATTATATGGATTTCATGTTACTTTATATTCAACCTGCTTTCTCCTCTTATATTGTATGTTTCATTGCAGTTTAAAGAAACAACTGGAAAAGGTTGAAAATTGGCCTGTGAGCCAACATTGGCCTATTTATCTAAAGCAATTCTAGATTCAGGATTTGGTTTTACATTAAACTAACAGATGAGTATTAGATGAACATTTTTAATAAAAATCATCATCAATAAAATAGTAAAATCAATCAAAACCAATCAAATCAGCCAAAGAGTAAAGGTTTCCTTATAGAAATAAGATTTGTGCCTCATGCATCACCTGGTTGAATGAATCTGTTGTGATTGGTAAAAAGTCCCTCGTGCATTTTTTGTGTAACCCTGTTAAAGTGTCCCATAAATAGATCTGATATCATGACGCACAACAGGGGCCAAAAAAGAGCCAAACGCGCGCGTCGCTCTTGCGCAACTCGTCTCCGTGAAGCCTTCGGACCTCAGGGTATTTAAACCTGGAGAAACCTGGAGGAACATTCACTCCGAAGCCTCCGGTCACCGCACACATGAAGACGGAGGGCGGGGTGCAGGCGGCTCCGTTCAGCGGGAGGAAGCAGAGTCTGATCGAGGATGCTCGCCGGGAGCGCAGCAGCGGCTCCTCGGGCTCCCCGGGGCCCTCCAGGTCCGGGGACGGCTCCGTGTTCGAGGAGAAGGACGGCAGGGTGACGGTGAACGTCCTGTTCGCGCTCAGCAGCGACAAAAATGCAGGATTCTTCAAAACTGGAAAAATATTCGAGGTGAGCCCCAAACATGCAGAGATGGAGGAGCTCCTCCATCACCTGGTCCTCCCAAAATCCAGACTGAAACCTGGATTCAGTTTTAAGAAGTTGTTAAACCGATTTTGTTAAATATCTGAACTTGGTCTGGTCCTCATAGCTCCATTGTTTTTGTCTGAATGGTTTTAATTCTTCTGTTGTTTCCTTTTTTTTTATCTTAGTGTTTGTTTTGTACAGAACCTTTTGAAAGGTGTTTTATAAATAAAATGTACTTTTACTTATTTCTTACCTACTTTTTAGTTATTTTAGTGTATACTTTTACTAAACAAGTCATCTATTACAAATAAAAGTTCTGTTTTTGTCATATATATGTATATGTTCCCTATTACTGGACCATTATTATCATGTCAGCTGCATTATAACATTGTATAGTCGAGTTGACTAATTCTTTGCACTGTTGGTAGTTTAATCTGTATAATACATTATTGCTTACTAAAGGTACTTTAACAGCTAAATCTTAATTTGAAAATGAACTTGTATCTATGAAAGTCAAAAGGCTTGATGAAATTTCTAACTTTAACTTTTAAAATACAAGCAAATAAACTTATGATTGGAAAGATATTGATTGGTCAAGATGATCAAAGTGTTCAGTAAAGGAGGACAGAATATTCTAGGAGGCCTTTAGAGGTCAAGACACTAAACTACAACAATCTCTCGTAGACGTTTGAAGCAAAACTTCTCCACATCGAGAGTCGACCTGGGAGGAAGTCAAAGAACAGCACGACGGACCTGGAGTTTTTCATCAAATGTGAAGTTCACAGCTCCGACCTGGACGTTTTCATCAACTCCCTGAAGAAAGTGGCTGACGACGTTCGCTTCATACCAGAGGAAAAAGGCAAGTGGGGTGTTTTAATAATATACTTTTATGATATCTTTCCTCTGTTCCGTTCTGTTACTGGCATCATTCATTCATTCAATTCTCCCTTTTAATGTTTCCATATGATAATCACATGCAAACAAGGTCATTAACAAAACCACTCATTATATTTTTTTCTCTCGCCAACGCCACAGTTCCCTGGTTTCCTCGAGTGATAAAAGACCTGGACAGATGCAACATGTTAATCACCAAATTTGATCCGGACATGGATCAGGATCATCCGGTGAGTGTTTCTACATCTGCTGCAGAATGTCACAGAGTCCCTCATCAGATAAATTCAGTGGCTCATGTTCATCTGCATCTTTCTTTTGCAGGGATTCAGTGATCCAGAATACAGGAAGAGGCGAGCCGTTATCTCCGAGCTCGCTTTCAGATACAAACAGTGAGTTTGGTTTTTTAAAATGACGCCCGTCAGTTTTCTGAGTGTGACGGGAATACTGTGTCATAAATTCATTTTCTTTGTTGCAGGGGAGACCCGCTGCCCCCTGTGGAGTACACAGCAGAGGAGGTCTCCACATGGTGAGAGTTCACGTCACAGTCACAGATGCATTGTGGGGAGAAGAGCCCGACCGAGTTTTTTGTTTGAAAGATGCACATTTATATTTTATGCAAAATAAAAAGGGTTTATTTTGCATAAATATATATATATATGCGGTTGTATTTGTGTTTTCTTTTTAGTTATAGTTATTAATGATTACATTTACGGTTAAACTGTAAAATAACGACTGTGTTTGATTTGAAGGAGGGAGGTTTACCAGCAGCTGAGGAGCATCTACCCGAGTCTGGCCTGTCGTCAGTTCCTGGACGGTCTGCAGCAGCTGGAGAAAGAGTGCGGCTACGGAGGGGATCGCATCCCTCAGCTCAGAGAGGTGTCCGCCTTCCTGAAAGGTGACAGAGAATGAGACGTTAGAAGTAAAAGAGACGTCTGCAACACAGATCACCCTCCACTTCCAAACATGGAGGAGAGCCTGTGGCAGCTCCAGTTGTCATGGAAACTCAAAAGGTGTTTAGATGGTCCAATTTGGGCTTCTGTAAAAAAACAGAGGACCGGCTCCTGATGTAAATATAAAGTATTTATATTTACCCTCATTCTAGGGTGAAGAAAACAACACTTACAATTTAGATGAAACACTCTAATATCACAGAATCTTACACGCTGGACCTTTAAAATATCATCCAGTATGTGTTACTGTGGTGTTCTGTGAGTATTCTGGATAAAATCCATAAAGTCAAAAGAAAAAATAACCCAAGCCATTATATTGTAATTCCCGATTGTTATTAAATTACTTGTTTGCATCAGAAAAGTGATATTTCATCCGAGACCTTGGCTTGAAAGACAGAATCAGGGATGAAGGCTGATTTCAGGTCACACACAGGACATCACTGTGTATTTGCACGTACCTATTGGCTCGGTTTCCTCTGAACACCTATGCGTTCTTCTCTGGTGGTTTCAGAGAAGTCAGGTTTCCAGCTGCGTCCGGTCGCCGGCCTGTTGTCCGCCAGAGACTTCCTCGCCAGTTTGGCCTTCAGGGTGTTTCAGTGCACTCAGTACATCCGACACTCCTCGGCACCCATGCACTCCCCCGAGCCGTGAGTTTGTTTGTAAGATAACTTGACTTTATTCACGTGCACATACAGCTGCTGTTTCCACATCTGTTCACTCTGCTCCGACAGAGACTGCTGCCATGAGCTACTCGGTCATATTCCCATGCTGTTGGATAAAGAGTTTGCTCAGTTTTCTCAGGTGACTGAACGGTGCCGCACAACATCCTTACGTTCTCACAATCAAACATTCAACACTAATGCATTTTAATCTTTTCAGGAGATTGGACTCGCCTCGCTTGGAGCTTCAGATGAGGACATAGAGAAACTGTCAACGGTAACTTACTTAAAAAAAAAAAAAAAAAAAGTATTCCCACATTAAGTCAATTTAAAAGTCAGTTAAGTGGAGTTTAAAAAATATCCAGAGTGCTTGGGAACAATGTTCTGTGACAATAACAATGTCACAGGAGATTGTGTTTAATGTCAGATCAGATGGTGATGACTTGATCACATGCTGAATGAAAATCTTTAAACGTCTAAAGGAATCTACTGTTTATTAATGGTTATTCAGCGCCATCTTGTGGCTGGAGTCAATATTACGCCCTGAGTCACTGGAACAGCCTCACAGAGGAAAACTTTGACATTATTTAAACATCAAATTAAAAACCCTCTTATTTATTCTGGCTTTTATTTAGTGTTCTATAATTGTATGGATCTTTTAATTAAAATGTATATATTATTATTATGATTATTATATTATTGTTATTATTATATAGTCCAGCTAAAAGGTTTACATTTGTGTCTTTTTCATTTAAAGTCTATGCAAACATATAAAACACTGAAATCTTGCATAAATTTGGTTTGATGGTCTACAGACATTAAAAATAAAGATCCTGTGCTGAGACCCTTTATCTCATCCGTCTTTTCATGATGTAAAAATAAAGCTACTATAAATAAAACATGCTGAGTGTATTCACCAGTCAGCAGACAGACTATAACTTCCTCCAGACACACTCTAAATCATGTTATCTGCTCTGGATTTCCCTTGATTCCATTATAGTTGTACTGGTTCACTGTGGAATTTGGCCTGTGCAAACAGAATGGAACAGTGAAGGCTTACGGCGCTGGACTGCTGTCTTCCTACGGAGAGCTCGTTGTAAGTGTTCACACTCACATGTTTTACTGCGGCGTGTTCTCCCCGTTTTATTGGCCTGGCTCACGATCAGTTTGACCTGTTCTTCTCAGTACGCTCTGTCTAATGAGCCAGAGTACAAGCCGTTCAACCCGGAGGAGACGGCGCTGCAGCCGTACCAGGACCAAACCTACCAGCCGGTTTACTTTGTGTCTGAGAACTTCGAGGATGCAAAGATAAAGTTGAGGTATTTACTCATTATTTTATGTTAAGTACGATCAGGAAAACAAAATCTAAACTCAGCTGTTCCTTTAACTATGATAAAATCTGTTTTAAAGGTCAAAGTGGTTTGATGAGTACAAACATGATATAAAACATAAATTCTGGTCTTTAAGTCACTACTGAAACTCAGCTGAACACCTCTGGGAGACAACCCACTTATATCTTTGCACCTTTTTAATACTAATCTAAAAGCGTGAATTCCTTTGCCCAGGAGATACTCTACAACCATCAAGCGCCCCTTCGCAGTTCGCTACGACCCGTTTACCTGCAGCGTGGAGGTTCTGGATCAGCCCGGCAAGATCCAAAAGGCTCTGAGCCAGATGAGAGAAGACCTGAAGACCCTGCACGGCGCCCTGGACAAGCTCGGCTCATCTTAGGACCAGGAAGAGACTTTCTGCAGGGACGAGACACACGGACACTCGCAAGCAAATGGATGGATGTTTGGTTTTAACGTTATATATGGGATCACATATTAAAATCACACTGTAGTCAGGTTTGTGAGGTTCCAACGGGGCCATTTATTTGTGTGTATAATGACTTGTGTCCTGTGAAGACAATGTAAAAAGAAATAAACTTTTATTTTCATGACTAAGTTTCTTGAAATCCTTAATAATAGATCATGTAAAGGTGCTGAATTGTTGTCCGGTGATGAGGAACAGTGGAGAACGAGTGAACCACTACAATACAAGACTTTTAGGCAACTTTCTATCCATTAATTCCAAGCCAACTATTTTCCATTTGGAAAATTCTTGGAATCCATTTATCTTCATGTGTTATTTAGCAAAGGGAAGGAGCTAATTATGAATGATTTAAGTATCGTGTTCCCTGAGCTGGTCAAAGCCGGAGCCAGCACTGAGGCCCAGCACATCAGTGGGGCCAGGTCACCGGGACCTCACAGTCGACCAAAGCACGGTCCACAGGGCCGCGGTGCTGACAGATGCTCTTCGCTCTTTATTTCTCTCCCTCCGTGCGTCTGGAGGATTTTGGCTCTCAGGGGGTTTTGACCCACGTCCAGTGTTTTGATCTCCACACGGGCGACAATGCATATCAGAGCCGCGCACGTCAAAGCTTTTCCCTGAAAAGGACTCATAAAGCATCAACACCAGCACCAGCACGGTGGCTGGCAAACCCTCCCCGTCGGCCACCTTGTGTTGGGAAGAGTTTCCTACCCATAATTCCACTGTACAGTAAATCAAGCCACCCTGGGAAAGCCTGTGTTTGTGGAGTAGAAAAAAAAAATGTGTGCGTGAACAGAGAGAAAGAGAAAGAGAAAGAGAGGGATAGAGCAAGTGGAGGGAGAGAGTGATCTACTGCTTGACAAGTGTGTTGGGACGCACGAACACGCACACGTTCTTTCTCTCTCTCTCTCTCTCTCTCTAACCCGAAAGTCAAACACTTAATAATTTCTTGTATCTCGTTCCTGCATCCAGTTCTCTCAAAAATTGCAAATCCCAGTGAAACCACCGCCAGGATCCAAATCAAAAGCGCATTGCCACGGCAACGGGGACGAGCAGCAAAGGGGCTCCAGCTAGATTCTCGCCACAAATCCCAGATTGCTGTATCATCCTGACTCCAAGCATGAGTGTTTTTCTTTTATTCGTGTCGGGGCCATTCCATCCCTGCGCTGGCTTGGTTACCTCCTGGAAAACAGGGTCGTGAGGTTCACTTTGCCCTCGGGTCCAAAAGAGATTCCTCTTTCATTCCCACTCCTCATCCTGAATGTCTGTTCTTGCTCTATGTAACCTTGGTGAGTGGGTGCGATCTCCTGTGAGAAATGTGGAACTGACTGATAGTCGCAGCTTAAGGTCTTGTCTACACGACTGCGGAAATTTCTTTGAACAGATATTTTCCCTTTGCTTTTACACAAATTCTCCATCTATCTTCATTCAGACGAGAACATAAAATTGTAAGTGGCGATGGGGTCGACATCAACTATCCGTCAAATACTAAATTTAGCTGCGAACTCGAAACTTATATATAGCAACCATTGAAGTTGATGTTTCTGGCGAGATTAGAACAGGATCAGACACAGAGGGAAAAGTTTGCAAAATATCCATGTTTGCATGGACAGGGCAGAATCAGGTCAAGTGGCCATCAAGGCACGATGCAATTCCAGGTAAGACTGGGGAAAGACCAGGATGTGTTTTCCCAGTATTGCAACATCTGGAAGTCCAAGTAATACAGCAGGAATCCAAGGCCCATCCATGCAAGAGTTAAATCCCCCTTTTTGTTTGGTTCTGGATGCTGGCGGGAAACCACAGCGATACGAAAAATAATTTTCTGAGGAAGCCACGAAGGCATCCTCTGGCCTAACGAGATCACAAACCTGGAATCACACGGAGGGAAACAAGAGCGGGATCATGGTCAGTGAAGTCAGGCGGAGTCGACTGATGGTTGGGCAACGTGCTTCGACTGGACGCAGAGCCCCAAAGATCTGCGGAGACGGACTCCTCCAGGCAAAATAAAAGCTGGAAGGCCAAAATGACCTGGCACAGAGCTGATACAGACGAGGAAGCCAAGGTGAACTTAACTGGGGGTGAGGCTCGACATCTTGGGAAGGATAGGGGATGATGGAGGGAGCTTACTGCAGCTTTATCTCCCATCGGAGACAAAAGAGTAAGTAAGTAAGAGAGGTGTTGGTATGTGAGGTTTTATTTCCTCCCTGGTCAAAGACGAGTTGAGCTGTTTTCCACCTGTATCCACTTTTTATTGTAAGTACAACTAAACCTGTCCTGAGGTTGTATTTCTGTTAATGTACATAAACTACTCAACTGATTTCCATGAATCAAGCTCAAAAGTAGAGATGGAGCACTTTTCGACCAACTCTCCTCAACTCATCTGGATCAACATAATCGCTTCATTCTGGGAAAGCATCGCAAACAAACCAGCCACGAGATTAAATCAAACACCGGCCTCAAAGGGCTCTAATCTCTGCCTTTGTTTCCCCTCATATCATGATCCTCATTATTTTTATTTGCTCTCTTTTCGTTGAGCCCAGGCTTAAAGTTGACAGGCCCGCAGCCGAATTATCTGAAGGGAGGAGATTAGGAGGAAGTTGGTGAGGATTTTAAGGCGGACTGATCTCTCTTTCATCCAGTTCACAGTTTGTTATTAGTCCGCGCACAACCACAAGAGATCAAACTGTTTGTGAAGCACAATCGCTTCATTCAGGTTACATCAAAAGGAAAGGGCGGAGGCCGCGGGCAGTGACATTTGAGGACGTGCTTCCAGGAGAAGACGGGTTTTTAAGATGTTCAACATGGATCACATGTTGTAGGAATCAGTCCACAGATAAATATGGCTCAAATCTTCATGTACTTTTGCTCATTGGCCAGCAGATGGTGTCCTCGAGTCAAGGGGGGGGGGTCCGTAACCCACTGAGATTTCATGACGCATGTTTCAGAGGAAAATGGCTCAGTAAGCGATTCCTGTGCCCTGTATGGCTGCTTTTTTATCATCTTTGGAGCACGTTCAGTGTGCACACATAAAAACGGCGGCCTCTCACTCTGACAGTGACATCTCCTGCCTTATGCGCAGCTGCTCCACCGCGGCCTGCACCTTGAGCACGGCGAAACGTAGAGAGTTGAGACCACATTGGACTTGTTCAAACAAAAGAGTGGACCAGGAGAAGCAGTAGCATGTTATGCTTTGTGGATGGCGGTTAACACCTCCGGTCCAAGAAATATACAAGGTTGACAAACTGGTTTGAAAGAGTGGAGGTCCTTACGGGCTGCTCGATCCTGCACGGACAACGTTGGCACAATACGACCGAGCGTTTCAGCTGACATGTACATTAATAAAGTACAATTAAGGGCTGTGTTGGACACTCGGGTACAAATGCAAATGTATCCAACACCCTTGAAGATAAAGCAGGGCTGCGGACACAAGTGATCAACTGTCACCTCGAAGGATTCACGATCAAGTTAATTAAACAGGAGTCCTCTGTAGCTTAGCCGGCCTGTGACTGAAAAAGGAGATGGTGGTTTCTCACACACGGCTTTCCTGTGACCGTACAATAAGTCCTTGTTGTACCAGGAGGTAAAGTATTACAAGTTTCTGCCAAATAAGCCCTTGTCTTCCATGTTTGGTCTGTAATTATTCGGCCAGGTATTCTTCCTCTCCCCGCGGCCTCACGGACATGACTCAGTTGTCGATGACCTGAAATGGCCTCAGACTCCCTTCCTTCCCAAAGCCTTTCCTACGATTAGAATCCTTTCAACCCCAACCCCCCCTCCAGACAGGGTTTGCCCTACACCTGGAGCGCAGCCAAACCTCCTAGCTTTTCCTCCTCCTAAACTTTCTATGGATTCACTGCATCCTCAAAGCCGGTGGAACATACTGTGATATATTCTTGATTTGATTCAGTTAGTCTTGAGTAGTGAACAGACAGACGGAGAGAAAGAGAGAAAGAAAGAGAAAAGGAGAGAGAGAGAGAGTGAGCACCTGTAGTATGATGATCATGTCGATCGGTGAAGTGAAGATTTGGCACCGACGCTCTCGACGCATTCCACTGAACTACAGCTCTGTTGGCAGCACATAACAGACAACTGATGAAACTCACTCTGCAGAGGAAAGAAAAACGAGCGCTTCGCTGTTTCATCTGTAGCTGAGCTGAGGGGGGGGGGTAGACAGACACAAATAAAAAAAAAAAAACAACGACAATGCTTAGGCATGCAGCGAATGTGCATTAAATTCCACACAAACTGGGCAGATACTCAGAAAAATATTTTATTGACTATTAACTAGAGAAGACACGGAGGACCTAGTTATCCACCGGGGAAAGTGCTGCACAGGCGTCTACATCTCAGTCATCCAAAAGCAAAGTTTCCTGTCGCCGCCGATCACACAAAGCGGAAGCGTCCGGTGCCAGCTGAGGCCTGATCCAACTGTTGCTGATCCGATCATTACAGGCTGTAAGGACAAGAGTATGTGACATGAGACTGCAGTTATCGAAACACATTTAAAGACAGAGGGAAAGTGACTATAACCCCACTGATAGAATCGGCAGTCGGAGTCTTTCACAGACATCGTATCAGCGTTTGTTTGCCAAAATTATGTTCACAGGTCAGACTGACCTGTGGGTGGCCAAGATGGTGGATGAGTAACTGACTACTGATTTTTCCTGGACATCCAGTGGTGGCAAAGAGGTTTTCGTTGGCTCGAGACCACCTGAGGAGAGCAACACCCTCTTTGAATATGATCAAATGCATAAATCTGCTTGAATATTAATAGTTCAGGCCAATTACTTTTTTACATTTTTGATGAAACACAACATTACTTACTCTGCCAGACTCTTAAGTCGACAGGTCAAAGAGTTTAAAAGGAGAAGAAATGTCCTTACTTGAATAATCGGGCTTTATCTATGTGGGCTGGTCTTTTTTCTTGTGGGTAACTGCAGACAATGAGCAAAAGGTTTAGATGCATCTCATGCCAACAAACTCAGCAGGGTGTTGCCATCCATTCCCTCACCTGGAGCGAGTTATGTCCCAGATGAGCCAGTCGTTTCCTGCCACGGCGCCCACTTTGATGGTGTTGGTGAGGC